CAACTCAGGGGAGGCCGCCAGGTAGTCCACAGCCGCCGCCACTCGATCGCAGTCGGAGGGGCGGCAGAAGCGGAAGAAGCAGGGGTCAGTCTCGGGCTCAGACTGGTGGGTCGGCTGGGGGGCGCCGGCCATGCTCAGCACCAGCGTAGCATGGTCGCCCACCACGCTGCGCTCATCCACCACCAGCCGGCGCACCCAGGGGAGCTGGCCAGCTGGGACCATGAAGTAGTCGACAACTGACCTGCCGGTGCCGTGGACGCCCCAACTGGTGGGGGCGCCGCGCTCATCCCCAGGAACGCGACCATTGCAGATGCGGGCGCCGACCTCCTGGCACCAGGCCAATAGGCGGCGCCCGCGTTGGTTCTTGTCGGGGTCACAGCTGCTGCGGGCGGGGGTGGGCTGGGAGGGGGGGAAGTCAGGGCAGGACTTGGTGCGGGCATTGAAGTCGCCGGCAACCACGGGGACCCCAAGCCGCGCCGCTGCCACCCAGTCGTGCGCCAACCGCTCCCACCAGCCCGCCTCCTCCTCCTCTGCCTCTTCCTTGCTGCGGCCACCCCGCTGGTAGGGCGGGTTGTAGCACACAGCCAGGAAGAGGTCAGCGCCGTCAGGGAGTGCAACGGGCAGCCGCACCCACAGCACCCCCTCGCCGGGCCGCTGCCGCCACAGCTGCGGCGCCAGCTGGCTGCGGATGAGGACTGCCACGCCGCCTGCGTCGCTGCCAGGCCGCGGCGCTGCGAAGGTGGTGAAGCCGTCCGCTCGGGGGTGCTTGGTCTTGTGTAGTTCGGTGAGGAGCATGGCGCTCAGGGCCGGGAAGCGCACCTGCAGCTCCACCACCGCGTTGGCGGCATAGCCCTGGCAGTTGCTGAGTGCCAGGGCTATGCCAGGGCGGCCCTCCCGCCGGCCCTAGGCGCGAGGGCTCGCCGGGCCGGCAGCCCGGCCGGCGTCCTGGCTGCCGGCGGCCCTGGCTGCGCTCCGCAGCACCATCCGCGTGCCCTGCTGCTGCTGCTGTTGTGGAGCTGCCTCACGCTGCGCCGCAATGTGCTGCTGCACCTGGGGGCGCAGCATGACGGCTGCGACGCGCGCCTCGGCTGGACTCTGGCGCTGCAGCACAGCCGGGGGCGTGCTGCTGCTGGAGCGGGGGGTGCTGCTGCCAGAGCGGTGCGACGGGCGCGGTGAGCTGGGGCTGGCGCCAGCCCGCGGCGGGGCCGCGGCTGCGGCAGCATAGCTCACTGGGGGGGCTGCAGGCTGCTGTTGCTGCTGCTGCTGCTGCAGGGGCGCCGCCGCCGGTCCACCAAAATGGGCGATCCATTCGCTCATGTCACAGCCGCTGGCCGCCTGGTAGGCCAGCAGGAGCTCAGGGATCAGGCCGATCTCGGCGCGGTCGGCCTTCACCCACTGGAGGTCCCACTCTAGGCAGATGTGCAGCTCCCCGTCCTCGACGTGGTGGGCGATGACGCGGCTGACTGGCCACCCCTCGCGGCGCTCTTGAGCCGGGGAGCGGTGGCGGAAGGGGGGGGCCGCTGGCAGGGGGGACTGGGTCGCGAGCGGGTTGTCCACCATCGGCGGCAGCTCGCTGGCCGGGCCGCCGCTAGCGCCTGCTGCGCCGCTGCTGGCCTCCTGCTGGGGCGGGCTGCCCGCCTCCCCTAGCAGCGAGGCTGGCTCCAGGGGATAGGAGAACATGTTGCCGCCGCCTGGCTGTGAGCTGGCCAGGGTGCTGCCAGCGGCGGACACAGCGGGGGCGGCGGGCGAGTCATCAGCGCCTGCTCCTGCGGCAGCTGGGGCTGGGGACGAGGGTGCGGGCAGCGGCAACGCCGCAGGCAGCTCAGCAGCAGCCACCAGGGTGTCACCCTCAGGCAGGACCTCTGGGCTGGCATGCTCCACCGTGGCTGGGGCAGGCAGCAGGGCAGGTGCACCATGCGGCAGTCCCCCCATGCTCGCCTGGGGAGCCCGGGCGGCCCCAGCGCCATCGGGCAGGGCCGTCCGAGCTCCCCCAGCGGGTGGTGTCAGCTCAGGCCGGTGGGGCACACCCCTGGTGCCATCCACCGCCTCATTGTGCGTGTCTCCGGCCCGCACAGGGGCAGCCTGGCGCCTGCGCGGCGGCGCTGCCGCTGACCGGCTGACGTGCTGCCGGTGCGGCCCGCTCCCGGGCCCCGGACAGGGCCGGGGCACTGCTGACTGCCGCCAGCTGCTCCTCGGCTGCTGCCAGGCCGGCTGTGGCCTTGGAGGCGGCCGCCTGGGCCTCGGTCAGCGCGGCATGCAAGTGTGCGTTCTGCTGCTCCAAGCCGGCCGCCCGGGCCGTAGCCTCGGCGGCTCGCTCGTCTGCCTCCTGGGCTGCTGCCCTAGCCGCTGCGGCTGTCTTCCTCCTGCTGACCCGGCGGCGGCGGGTCTTCCCTGGCGGCGGGGCCGCCTCCGCGGCATCGGCTGCCCCTGGCGTCTCCTGCTGGGGTGGCCGTGGCGGCGGCAACGGATCCGCCTCCCGGTGGGGCTGCTCGGGCTGTGGGGCGGTCTGGGGGCGGGTGCCTCGGGGCTTGCGGCCCCTGCTGCGGTCGCGGTGCTGGGGGGGACCGGCGAGGTCCACCACCACTGCGGGCATCTGGGCAGGGGGGGGCAGCCGCCGGCAGGGGGCCCGGGGCGGGGCCCGGCACCCCAGGCTGGATGGGCAGGGGTGCTGGCAGCGGTGGGCTGGCCGCCAGGTGCTCACCCAGTGCGCCCTTGGCCGCGAGGGCGTCATGCAGTGCTGCAGGGACTCTGATTTCCACCTCCCAGGCGCCGTGCACCAGGGCAGGGATGCCGCAATCGCACCTAGCCGTGTCCACCCCGCAACGGCCAACTGCTTCCAGCACAGCCGTGCGGGCTTCGTGCTGAGTGCTGGCCGCTGAGCCGCTCAGGGAAAGGCGCAGGGGAGTAGCGGCCGGCAGATGCAAGGATGGCATGCCATGCCCGCGCTCGCCTCGCAGCGCGGCAACTGCCCGGCTGACCCTATCGCGGTACGTCCAGAGTATCGCTGCGGCCAACAACGCCCAGGCCACCAGCAGCGCGAGCCATGCCACCAGCCAGGCCACCAGCGCAAAGAGGGTTACAGAGAGAGCCTCAGCCATTCAGAACAGCTATTCGCTTTCAAGAATGCAGTTGTTTGTGCCAGCGGACGGCCATGCACATCTAGGCGCTGCCACTCACGCGCGACATGCTGCCAATTAGCCTGGGTTAACGCGGCGAGTTGCTGCCAAACGCTGGAATGGCAGCTACGCCCCCCATGCTACTCATGCAGCCGCTGCCACTGAAATGAGGGCCAGCGCTGGCTTGCTGCATCGAGTTGGCGAACCCATAATACACCCTCGAGGCGCTGGCATCCAGGCTGGCATTCAGGCTGCCTGCCATGGTCCGCCCATTCTGCATCAGCGGCCCCGTTGCACCCATGGCTGCCAAGACCGCCAGCTTCAGCTGGTGGTGCTGCTGGGCCTGGGCGGTCAACATGGTGGCCGCACCATGGAGCACCGCACTTGCCGCTGCCACCATGCTGCCTGCCTCGTCCCCGCTAGTCAGCTGCCTCCCCAAACTTCTAAGCTTTGCAGCCGCCTCCATCAAGCTATTGTTGTCACCCCCCAGAAAGGGCGGTTGCGCCGCCGGCACCAGGCTGGCGCCCGGCTGCTGCGCTGCTGCTGCTGGCGGCTGCGCTGCTGCCGCCGGCACCATGGTGGCGCCCGGCGGCTGCGCTGCTGCTGCTGCTGGCTGCGCTGCTGCTGCTGGCGGCTGCGCTGCTGCCGCCGGCACCATGGTGGCGCCCGGCGGCTGCGCTGCTGCTGCTGGCGGCTGCGCTGCTGCTGCTGGCGTACGCCTGGAGCGCCTGGGCGGTGGTGAATGTGGCACTGCCGCTGCTCCATGCATGCCCTCGGTGGCTGCCGCTTGTGCCAGCTGCAGCAGCATGGACGGCGGCGCCTCCTCTTCCAGCCGCCCGTGTGCGGCAGCAGCGTCTGCGCAGGAGGTGCCAGCGTATGCTGGGGCTGCTGCCGCACGCCTCCTCTCCTCCAGCTGAATGCGTGCAGCAATGCGCTCCATCCGCGCGTCCCGGCTGGACACCTGAGCATCCTCCTCATAGTCCTCGACAATCGCCGCCAGCTGGTCGGTGATGGGGGAGCTGGTGCTGCCGGGCACGGTGGCAGACGCGGCGCCCGCCATGCCTATGCTGCTAGCCACCATCCAACGGG